TAACTGCTTAAAAATACTATTTAGCAAAAAATTAAAATTATTTCTTTTTCCATGACAAAAAAAAATAATCAACTTATTAATCAGAAAATCAAATACTGTACACTTGCAAACCGTCTACCTCAGCAACTTATTAACAACCTCAAGTCTATAACCCTTAGGGAATTGGGCATATCTTTAAATATCTGTTTATAAATGCTGTTGAGCAAAAAGGACAGTTTATTGCTTTTTGCATGGAAATAAAGGTAAACAAATTTAGAATCAGGAAATTAATTAATTGCCTATCAATGCTTACCAGAAGCTTTGTAACCGTCGGGTTGGAAGATTTATGTTATTTATGTTGTCTTTTCCGAGTTAATGCATCTGGGCACTTTTACTCTATGCTAGCTGGGGGGATTCTGCAGAGTCACTGACTGACTTATCTCACATACTAATTTGAGTATTCCTGATAATCTTCGTGGTTATTTAATGATTGATCTAAGATCTGCGTACCGCCCGTGCGGTTAGTGATTACTCTGAGAGTAGATAGAGCTAAGTAGGGCAGCCTGTCGGTTGTCGCATATAGCTTCAGAGCTCTGTCCCTTATGTATTTTTTGATCGGATCTATTCTAAGGTCTCTTAGCATGTCATTCGTGCGGATGTACTATGGTACTTTGAAGAGCCTTCGGAGAGCCTGTCTTTGAGCAACTTGTAGCTTTTGGATAAAATGTTGTCTAGCAAAAATTATTATATTTCTTGTTACATCGAAAGAAATGTGATCATATTAAGAATCAGTTACTGTACATGTACTTGATTTCTACATGGAAATTCGTTATCGATCTATTACGTTTCTAATGTTTTATTATCAAATATATTTTTGGGCATACTTTTTCCCGTACTTGTATCGACGAAAAAGAAGTCGCCGCCTCCTATGCCGAACATTGATTACACCTATGTCCAGGGAAAATTTTTACTTTATAACTGTTTTAATTTAAAATGAAATCTGAATTAAAAATTAATCAACATAAACTGTTTTAACTCACGTGATTTGAAATCCTATGCATAACATTTCAGCATTTCATTCGTATTTACAAAAGCATTAGTGCGTATGATTAATATAAAAACTTAAATAAAAAAATTTGTTATATCGCCTAAAGGCGTTTCTGTTTCTATATTATTATTTGTCATAGTTTGTTCATCGCGTGATTTATTGAAACAATTTTTGCTACACAATAAAGTACACACAAATTGAAACTTCATTACAACTGCCCATTACTGGCATGCATGGCGTATGAGTAACTAAATTACAACAGGCAATTACTATTGAATTTATGCTGCAATATAAATATTTAACAATTTTAAATGCCTTAAATACTTGAATCAAAATCGCATAAATATTTCAAGTGTTAAATAGTTGAATTTATATTTATTTTACATATGAAATATGATTGTGTTAAATGTAATTTAAATAAATCAATTCAAGGCACAGTGCACAGTGCCCAGGCAGTCATCATTAGCTTATTGACTCTACTGTTAGCCTCGATTTTAAATGCAATAATTTCACATCAATGTAGGCAATTATTTAATATTTAAATATTGACAATTATTATATGTTAGGTTTAAGTGTGAGCTCGACAATTAACTATAAATTTGACAACAATTTGTTATCTCTCCTCTCCTGTCTGTGAATGCAGCCAGCATCGCATTACTTTACTTTTGATAAACGACTACAGTTAGATAAATAAATATATTAGGCTTTATATTTGAGTTTGAAGTATTGGAGATATTTAATTTCATATCCAACAGTCTAATGTCCTCAACTTTGATAGTCAAGCACTATTAAGTTTGAGTGACTTGATACGATGTTAGTGTGCACTTAGATTTTGGAGTAGATTTTTATAATTTTAATATTTTATTTGCATATTTTGATATTAGCATATGTTTTGCCATCTGCCTTTTTCAAATGAAATCGAATTAAACTGTTTTGAGTGGCTCCGTACTATGCGTAAAGTGCCATCAAAACTGCTTTTATCGTCTTTTTATGCATTTTGCATATCACAAATTTTTCAAATATGCACAAAGCCACAAAATTGATCGCTTTTGGTTGGAAAGTATCTGCAATCATTTATAAATATGTTGCTTTCATAAACATTTTGAAACAGCTTTGTAAGCAGCCATTCATGAATATTCATATCTGGTAAATATTTAAATTCATTAAAGATTTTCGGATACTAAGGCTGCTTCGGAAAAATATTGTGTAATATTTGTGCATATTTTATACTACACTACTTCGTTTGAGTACATAAATATTTTTTAATTAATTTTTTATTTAACTAAAAGCATAGTTTTTAAGAGTTTAGTATATACTGAGTATCTGTGAATGTGGTATGAAGTCTACTATTTATTTTACAAATAACTTCAATTACATATACTGAGCTTTCAAGTACTTGAAAGAAGTTTCTTATGAAAAATGTAATTCAAGTTAATTGACTTTGTGTTCTAAATCAACTCAAGTATTTAAAATTTTATATTGTTTCGATATAATATTAAGTTAACATCTAAAAACATCAGGTTCTTTATTACAACGGAGTCAGCAGTCCCGGTTTTCAAGCTCCAAATGACGCGGTATGAGATCAGTATGATCTATATATAAATGAGCATTACGATCATATATATATATTTCAATAAATATCAGTTATGACTACGACTGCAATGGTTTGTGGACAGAACTTAATGTTTTGATTTAAAGTCCATCCAACTAAAAAAAAATTAAAGTATTTAATTTCATTTCATTTAAATTTAATACATAACCGAGAAACACAATACACAAAAATATTTTAGTTATTTTTTTTTCACAATGTCATACAAGAACAGCTTGTATTACTTAAATAACTGAAGCCCCAAAATGGATTATATATTTATACTAACAGATGTTCAAACAGTTCTGTTGCACTTGATTTATATAACTTGATTTTATTAATAAGAAACATATTTACACTATTAGATAAACAAGTTGTTTTAAAATTCTCCACTTAAAACAAATGTACAACTATAAAGAACAGAGCTACACTCTCTACAACATTTATACGTCCGATATCCCAATGTTAGGTCCCTCGACACTGGCGTTATACGTTGCCGATACGTGTATGCTATACTCAGATAAATGTGCTCTCAACATAACCAACACATTTCAAGAGCATATCAACCGCACTCTGAAGTATTTCCGGAAATGGATAATAAAAATCAATAAGTAAAATACTAAGGCTGTGTTTATAACGTGTAAGTGGAGACAGTTTCCGTCGAGAGTGAGAGTGGGTGATATGGTAGTAAACTGGGAGGATAGCGTTAAATATCTCGGCATGACGTTGGACAAACGATTCACATGGTTTAAACATGTTTAACTGAAAAGAATTAGTTGTGCCAAAATTCTTCATCACCTCCAACCACTATTTAGAAATAAAAATCTCAATGCTAATAACAGGAAACTGATATATAACCAAATAATTCGTCCGTCACTTCTATATGGTTGTGTGACGTTTGAGAAAGCTTCAAACACTACTATTCGCCAGCTTGAATTTGCACAAAGTCAGGCTCAGAGAAGACTTTTTAAAATAGCATGGTACATTAGGACGAATGACAACCTCACTTCTATATGGATGTGTAGCGTTTAGCAATGCTTTAAACACTACTATTCGCCAGCTAAAAATTGCACAAAGCCAGGCTCTGAGAAGATTTTTAAAAGTAGCATGGTACATTAGGACGACTGACATCTTCAGGGACCACAAGATTAATCCCATCAAAAAATACATAAAGGATATAGCCCTGAAATTATTTGCGAAACTGACAGACTTATCAACACCGCATTATCAAATGTCAGAATGGTTACAGGCTCCTCGGGGAGATATGCAGATCAGAGGTCAATTTTTGCTTAGTCTAATGAAGTGATAAACAATAATCCAGTCAAGGCGTAAAGAGGGGTTTTGAAAATACCTTGAGTTAAGAAAGAGCAAAAGTGCTCAAAGAGTAAAAGGGACTGGAACGATTAGTAAAATAATTCACATGTGTGCGTTTCGAAGAATTATATTAAAGATATGAAAAATTTTAGATTTATAATGAATTTCAGTATTATAATGAATTTACTAACAGATTATTTTAGGTTAAGAAACCATGTTAATTGAATAAATATTTTTTACGATTTCTCTTACTGTAGCTGAAAAGAAGATAAGCATATGCTTTATTATACCTCGGGAACATCTCGGAATGTATTTAAGTATTGAAATGATTTTAAGCCTTCAGGAATTTATACAGCAACATAATTAGTCACCAGATTTATTATAATTTATGCAGCCACTGCAATAACCTAACTCAACCTAATGTTTCTATATAAGATCCATTCTAGTACAAGATTATTGAAGCATTTAATTGAGTTTTATTGAATTTCAATATTCTTAACAATTTATAAATATTATATAGATGAAATCGTTGCACAAATATAATTGGAACTAATGTCTTCATGAGTTTTTTAAAATATCTGAATGCATATCTGAAATATTTTTTATTAAGGCATGTAGATTCTGTTAAACTATAATTAATTTTATTAAGTCTTGAACATTTCAAAGGTGCTTTATAATTGCCAGGTGCAAATTACTACATAAAAATATCTTGTGTTTCTTTATAAAAATTATATTGAATTATCTATTACATTTTCAGAATAATCTGGAAGATACACAGCTCAACTTTCCTCTCGAGTCATAATCTTTCTGCACAGCAGTTTCAAAATAAGCTATCACATATTAAATCCAATCCGTATTTATCACTATATATTTAACCGATCTCAAACAGTTGCAAATACATTGGATTATATTCCATACCTTGCACTGCTATACTGTATGGTCACCTGCAAGCACTCGTAACTTAAAGTTCATTAAATGAAACGGTTGTAAGTAATGTATACCTCAAGACGGACTAGATTAACTAAACGCTGAAGATCTCTCAAGCTAAGCAGATGAATGTAGCAAATATCTTCACTTGCATATGCAGTATTTTTTCGCCTGTTTATCGTTAATGCATTGTGATACGTTTTCATAAGAACTGAGACAGCTTATATCCTCGACATTCAATTCTACACTTCTCTTAACAGGATTATATATTGCAGTAGCTTCATAATTAGCTTTTTTCGGATATACAACAAAACGAATTCTATAAGTTGGGTTATACTGTATTCCATCATCTTCTTCCACTTTCAAGTGTGCCGTATTAATATCTTTTAATTTCAGTTCGCTGCATACCTTACTTAATGTCTTGTCTTTTAAGTAAGAATTCATTTGATCTATTATTTTTTGTGTTACATATTTTACAATTTTGTCTTTTTTTGATTGATTTTCGTAATGTGTACAAGTGCACCAATGTTCTGGTATGCCAGCATCAGCACAACTACGATTTACCGGTACTTCACGAAAAATACTTTGGCATTTTGCACAACCGTTTGCCATTGGTAAAGTCAGACCCGGCTGACTTAATTCTAATATATGCTTCAGTGTCATATGTATGTCATAGGGTGTCGTTAGACGATTACGATTGATTTGTAGTGCTTTGACAAAATCCGGATATTGATTTTTAAACCACTTTGGTAAGGATATGTAAAACATAGGTAAACGTTCCTCTAAAAAACCACCAGCTAACGTTACTAAGGTGCCAAATCTACGTCCATGATCGCTGAAGAATATAACTATAGAATTTTCTAAGATGCCATTCGTTTTGAATATTTTTAAATATTCCAACATTTTGACATCCATTGTTGCGGATGTATCGTATCTATTATGGCTAAATGAATTTGTCCAAAATAAACCAAAGGTGGGTTCATTCTCAAAACGATTTGCCAATTGTAATGCATAATCGTAAATATATGTACCGTAATGCTTCCTGCCTAGACAATAAGGTAACCCATCCTTTTTTTGAACTTTTAAATTTTTCTCCAATGCTAACACCATTGGACGTATATAGTAGTCCGTTGGTGGTGTTTTAAAGCCTTTCTTTAAATAGTTAAATGTGCTTAAAGATACTACATCTTCAGCATATGCAGTTCTATAACCAAAGTTTTGGTAGTTTTGCCAGATGAAATAGCAGTTATCAAGTCCACCCACTGTTTTCGGTTTGCAGTCTCTGTAGGCTATAGTTTCATTATTACCATTTAGGAGGGCCATCAGGTTTGGAAATGTATTGTCTCCAACCTAGAAGTAAAGATAATAAATATTTTATGCAATTAATACGCATTAATTTTATAAGGTATTATAGACATTAGTCTTATTTCTTTAATTCATCAATTTGTAATATAGTGTATGAAACTTAATTAGTCAAATGAATTTAGTGTTTTTATTGTTAAAATTTGCAATCTAACTAAAATTAAATCTCAGATATAATTTTTTTTTGTATATATAGTATACAGTAAATGAGAAATTATTACTAATGGAAAAATAATCTTCATATAGTAAAGAGATATAAGTTGATAAAATTAAATAAAAATTCCTGAGCATACCTAAGCAATACTGAGCTGATGAACCCCATTGTCCAATACCTAGATTCAATTGGTCTAATCTAGACAAGAAACGTACTAGTCAGCTACCACGATATCTGTGCTGACAAGGTACTGCGAAATAGAAAGGCATGCTATGAGACTGAATCTACCCTACAATGACTTTTGTCGAGGCTTACGATCTGAAGATGAGGAGGAGATTTAGAGATTTTATGAAACTTAATAAAAATAACTTAAAATTCATTACAGGAGTTTTGACGCAGCATTGTAGGTTGAATTGTCACCTTATATAATTTGGAACTTATTCTAGTGGAGCTCATCGATTTTAGAGGGGAGGGGATGAGATTTCAATATATAGCAAGGTATGCAATTGATATCAGATAAAGAAATAAAACTTCGTAAATCAAGTTCAATACTGCAATTTATCTACAAAATTGGTCTTAGAGAAATATCATCATCCTAATTCACGATGAGGACAGAAACGATATCTAGTTTATAATACTATGTATCACAACAGAGTAATAATAATTTTATATAAATGTGAAAAAATTTTAATGAATGTTTGTAATAATTTGATTTCATAATAATAACTAAATTAATTAATTTTAATGTCCTCTTCTTACCTTATTATATCCTTGCATTTCAAACCAATTGTTTTCTTCTAAATATTGATGCGTCTGAGGCATAGTTCTGCGAAAATTCATGCGCGATAAACTATCTATTCCTATCAGGAAGACACTTGGCTTTCTTATAGATTCAGATGTTATCGTCTTGGTTTTATTTTTATACTGAATAAACGAGAAAGCATCTTTTTGTATTAAAGTAGAATTTTTTCTACATTCCACAATGATGAATTCAATATGCTCGGGTACGACAAAATTCTGAACAAAATTTTCACATGGCAATAATCTGACAATGGAAAAATAAACAGAGAGAGATAGAGAATAGTTTAAATAGAATAATATTTAGTAAAATAATTAAGAATAATTTCACAATTCTAATTATTCCGAAACTATATAACTTACTTAAACGCATTATCGGCCTTGCTGCCACTTCCGGTACGTACTATTTGACGATAACAGCAAATCAACTGATTTACAGCCTCAGAGTTATTCGCATTTTTGTGCTGTGATAAGAAGGTTTCGTTTTCGATGTATAATAGATACTTTTCCTGATTCATGTCATATAAAACACTAACAAGTGGTTTATCATTAGTACAGGGTTTATATTTTTGTGGTTTAAATATTTTTTTTATTTCCGCACTAAATGGATCTGCGTAAGGCATATGACAATGTGTCGTATTTACGAAGTATTTGCTATTCCTAACTATTAGTGGTTCTATAGATACGTTTTGTAAATCAAATTCATGTGATGTCACATTAGTTTTGTTTTCTTTGAATATTTCACTAGTCGAATATAAATATTCACAATTTCGATATAAAAGCAACACGCAAAAAATTAAAGCACAGAGCACTACTCCGACCAAAGGATTGACACTTTTAAGTTGACTCAAATCTTCGTTTGGATCTCTGATTAAAGTATATTTTGGTTTCGACATTATTAATAACTTTTTAAAATTTATAAAAAATTATTTCAATAAAGTATCACTATCGTTATTAAATCAACAGAACCAAAATACTATTAATTGATGAGTGAAATAGATGAGCTATTAAAATGCTGATCCAAATATATAGATCAAATTTATTATATGCAATATTTTTATCATTTTTTTTTATTTAATGTTGTTAATGTTGTTTCTTGAAGTTTCCGTTCATTACTAAACAATACTATAAAATTTTATTTTATCGAAATTCTAAATACTTTGCTATGTTCTTGGATTTCTGCTCTCCAAAGAGCATTGCACAGCAATACCAAATGTTTTATCGCTACTTAAACTATAATTACATTATGTGAGTATAGAGATATGAACCAATGTGTACATTCATCTATGTTGTTTTTTAATTAAACTGTGTTCTTAATATACATTAATTAAAAAATTTTAAGATAAGTATTTGAATTATTCGGAATATCTATTTATAAGCCAAACCATTGTATTTATTTCTAATTATTGATTTAGTCACGTTCTGCAAAATACCGGCAATAAGTCAACAACAAGAATCTGATACGTACCCATAGAGTTCAATAATTAATTGGGTATATCGTCACTTTTCTTCACAATAATTTTAGTTCAAATTGTGGTGGTAATAAGAGATAGCATTCCACATAGCGATAATCACTATTGGCAGATAGATTTTGATACAATTTGTTGTTTTCCATTCCATTATTTATAATTCAAAATTTGATTCAATTTTTAATTCAAAAAACTAATAACTAATATGCAACAAAAACGATATTGTCTTGTGTTCTGTAGTTTTATTTAGTAGTAGTTATTCAATTAGTTATTTATGTTTTTTTATATATTTCTATGTATATATATGAGATTAGTTAAGAACTGACTACATGCGAGAGAGAAGTGAAGAGGTTTACTTTCCATAAGAAATATGAATTCTAATAAGTATAACAAGAAATGTTCGATTTTTATTATTAAATCAACTCTGGCTCAATTCGAAGTGTATTTCTTGCAGTTTGGTTATGATAGCCAACGATTTGTAACATGACGCATTGTCTTGGTGAAAGAGGGTTTTTTCTTTTTCATGTGGTGCTCTTGTTTCGGAATTTGCTCCTTGAAACGCTTCAGTTGGGCCATGTAAGTAACGCTATTTATATTTTGACCTAGATTGTTTCAAAATAACTGATTAATAAAAATCTACACTTCTCTCAAAATACAAAGGCCAAAACCAAGCTAGATACCTGTTGTCCTCTCAACTGACTACTAATTCGACACTGGAGTGAAATAGTATATTTAATTTACATCCATTGTTACCTACCAATGCAAAACGTTTTTTTTTAATTGTTTCAAGAGTTAAATAAAATATCATACTTCTTTATTATAAGAGTTCCAAACAACTCTCTTTCTTTGTTTTTGATAAACTGTCAGCAAATGCTGTATCTACTCTTAAATAAGCTCAGAGACAAAAGGTTATGAAAAATGATGTCAACACTTTCCTTTGAAATCTAAGATTAAGATAAGTTTGGGCAGACGGGTTGCACGGGGGAGACAACGCTCTTCTTATAAGGTAACAGGTGGAGGCCTATTGAGAACTTTGTTGGGAGTTAACCCAAATATCGAAGAAGACATAGCATCTGTGTGGAATGCTATAAGTTCACATTTGTATACGACCTCACTGATGTTAGTTCCATTGCAATATTCGTCGATATGATTATGGAAGGAGGCAAGAGATCGACATATGCATCTCGGAGGAAGGGCTTTACTAGCCATGGCACCATTGGAACCATTTTTCTATTATTTGTCTCGATGAAATAGAATTCAGGTAGCACTTATCAAGCCAAGTTTTTGCTGTCACGGTATTTTTTCCAATCAAAAAGGATAAAAAATAATAAATCGATTTTATTATCGATTTTGACTGTATCGATAATTGTTTGAATATACATAGAACCCATTTAACATTTGTAACTAAGTCTTGAAACTGACTAGAGTATGAGTTAATTCTGCCATGTTGATGACTTAAGTATGGTTTAAGTCCGTATTGAGGCTTAAGTTAAGTCAGTATTTTTATGTTAATTATAAAAATATTAACCGATTAATTGACTTTCGCATTGTTCAGAGTATATGAAATCCAGAATTACTCAGTCAATTTAATCATAAAAATTCCTTTCGGAATTTCTTCTTAAAACCATTGAATTATTTCAATTGTTACGATTTTGTGGTTCCAAAATGAAATATTTATTCGCTTTAAAAATGGCTTTTTTTTGCAATTATTTTGCTTTATTTCTTACTTTTTTTTATATCTTGTGGTGTTTTTATATGTTTTTAATTTACATAAAGTGCGTAGCCTGTTTTTTATTTTTTTATTTTTTCTGCAACTTGCGTGGAAATGCGTCATGCCATCTGAACTGAAACTTCCTCATCGTCAGTGGCAACTGCTAAAAGTGCATAAAGCCTTCACGAATTTTACACGCCATAAAATTTCACTTTTCAACACACACACACACACACACGCACAACCAATTCAAAAGGAAAAAAAAATTAAAAGAAAGGGGAAATAGACTACCAAAGCAAAAAAATGGCAACCGCGCTCGTTACGACTGCAGGTGCAGCTCTCAAGCCACACTTTAAATAAGTTTTACATGGAGCTTGCATGCGGGCTACAGCTTGCTAGCAAGCACACCACTTGCACTTTAAATCAAGTGTAAGGGGATCTTTTTGTAAAGCTGTACTTGTGGTTGTTGTAATTGTCGGTTGGTTTTCGTTTCATTCCCGCATATTTGTTGCATGCAATATTTTTAATGAAACACATTACACACAAATACACAAAAGTACCATTCACACACACACACACAAACATACGTACACGCAAGCACACAATTTTTCCACTGTTGATATGCTTAATGTACGTAGTTCTCAGTCTCTGCTTTTGTATGAATGTATCTTTATTTGTGTTTGTGTGTTTGTGCGAGTGAGTTGGTATCACTTCACTTTGCCAAATAAGTGAATTTTTATTGCGTGTAAAATACACGAAGCTTTTAAGCAATTTACGTTAAAGACCAGCGCAAACGAATGTGACTCGCTCGTTTCATTTGAATCCTTCGATTTAATTTATTATTTGCGTATTTAAATTATTTTAATCCTTTTAAACATATTCTCAGAATTAATATTTTTCCTTTTTTTTTGTTTTTTGCTATTGGCATTTTCATTCAATTTTATTTCTTTGTCACATTATTTTGGTAATTTCCCTTCAATTATCTTTCGTTTGTTTACAGATTTTTATTATTCATTTAATTAATTTTTCTGATAATTATTTTAATTAATTGTGATTTTTTTTAAATGAAAATGATTTTTGAGTATTTTATTTTATTTTTTTTCTTCTATTTTAATAAATAAATTTTTAATATCTTTTAGAAGAAATAGAAGAAAAAAATTAAAATAAAATACTCAAAAATCATTATCATTTTATAAAAATTACAATTAATTGAAATAATTAACAGAAAAATTAATTAAAATTAATTAAAATTAATTAAATTAAATTAATTAAAAATCTGTAAATGATGCGCCTTCTATCTGTAAATGATGCGCCCTCTATTAAAAAAAATGCTAACTTCAGAATTTTAATAATCGTCTTGTTTTCTTCTAACACGCATAAAATGCATGATATCAAATAAAATTGTTACCTCCAAGGGTTTGTTTTCTATTTTACGCCAAGCAAAGCATATTCCTTTATCGAGAACTGAATAGCTGGTCTCCCTTAAGACCCCATTAAGGCTCCATTAATTATTACTATTAGACTTAGATTATAAATTTTGATTTCTCGTTGTTTCTATGATGTGACTAAGAAGAATAAAAAAAATAATGAGATAAGCCGACATCAATAAGTGGGTTATTAGTATTTACTTATAAAACACGGAGGTACCAGCAAGCATTAGCTTAGTAATAGTAAGGTAAGGTTTTAAGCTTATATGTTCATATCTCTCTCCTCTGATTACTGGAATGTAGTTTCCTCAATGCTATGGAAATCTTCTTCATTCATTTCTAAGAAGAGGTTTTAGTGGGTTCAAGTCTCAAGTCCCAAAAGCAGTAGGTTAGTTACAAGATATTATATAACTAATACTCAAATTCTTTCTTATACGTCTAAAATCTGAAGCCCTTCAACCTCTTTGCAGGCTCTTGACGGTCCAGAAGACTTACAGATAGTCCTTTGAGATGATTACTTATCGATTTTGCATATAATTTTTCCCACATCTACGATTTATCTTTTTTAAACAAGGTCTTGAAAAATGGGGAAATTTGATACAAACATGATACATTATGGAACATTAACGGTAGTAAGAGACAGTACTGTAGATAACACGCAGTATTTCTATGCGTCAATATAGAGCTCAACCATAGAGTATTAACAATACAAGGTATTATATAGTATAGATAACACTCAAGAGTTTTAGACTGATATCCCCTCAGTATATCCATATTGAAGATATATGCTGTGCTGGAAAATTGTACAGCATATACTCAAACCAATTTCAGAATAACTTTGAACAGCAGAATTTTACCATGCAAAGTTTAACTGAGGACTTAACGAAACTAACCATTACATTGTTCTTGTGTTTTTGAGGATGAAATACAAATTTCTAGTATATATATGAGTTATTTAAATGAGCTCATAATCCGCATGTGACCCTAATTTTACTGACTTACGCTTAGGAAGTTACTAAGGTTTCTTAAAGAATACTTTTATTTTCAAAAATTCAAGTTATGTTCCTATAAACCCTTTCAAAGATTATAGAGGCCCATAATTTTTATGGATTTGATTGTAATGAACCTTTTCATACAATCGTCAACCCACAATAATGATTCTTCTTAGAAGAAAAAGATACAGATGAAGAAGTTACAGAAGATGTGGATCTTCTACATAAGAAATAAAATTCGCTTAATAGATCAGTACAGATCAAATCAGTCTTTACATATGTTATATATATTAATATTTATTTAATTATTTAATTTAATGATTGCTTCAGTGACACACATTGGATTGAAGACTTTTTAAGAAGTAAAATATATGGATCTTTCAGACAAGATAAACTCCAGAAAATCTTAATATTAATAACTACAGAACTAAGTGAAGCATTTTCTAGATATATAAATTGGGTACTGGCAAGCCGAGCCAACTTTTTATAAGAAATCATTCATTTTGAAACCGTTAATTTTTGAAAAGATTGCTTTAGTTTGCAGACTATAAGATTTACAGACTTTGCTGTCTAAAAAATTGCTGAGCAAATATATCAAGAATCTATTTACTCAGGACCCATTTTACTGAATAGTTAATTCCCAATACTATGCAACAGTAGCGAGGCGTCAGCTTTTTGGCAAGGTGTTCACAATTTAATCAAAACAGAATTCCAACTATAACGTATTCCCCCTACTACTAAGTTTTGTCCTTTCCACAAGCAAATAGCGTACAAGACCAATAAAACAATTTATTTAAATGTTCGCAGCCTGTGATCCACTGGTTTTTATTTACCATAAAGCTGTAGCTGTAGGAAAACGACGACTTACCATAGATTTCGACATTTTTACAACAGGTATGAAATTCTTCATATCTGGAGTTGGTTTATTCATTTTATGAATTAAAATCTTTTTTTCAGAAGATCGTTTAAAAAATGACATTGAATCAAATCTTTAATCACACATTTATTCATTTCTAAATATTATTTTTCACTTCAAATTTCTTTAATCTCTTTCTTTACTTTTACCATTTTCTAGTATAAAATTGCAATAATGACTTTGTTTTGATTTATTTCCAACCTCTATATAAGAGTAAGAAACTCTCATGCATTCATTTACTCTTTTACTTTGTATTTACAATGCCCGGTTCAGTTTTTATACTGAACCATTTCCCCATATAAAACAGCAACCGTGACTTTGTATTTGCACGCTTTGTATAAACTTTTGGTTCAGTTTAGTGGAATGATCCTCTCGTCAAATGTAAAGCGATTTTCGCTCAGTCATTTCTTTTCTCTTTTGTATTTACTTTGCATAACATTGGAAGTGCACTTTTTTTATTGAACTGCTTGCACGCATTAATTTAAGAGTTAAGATTATTTTACGTACATATATTTGTTTGTATGTTTTGTGTTGTGTATTCAATATTGAACATAGTCCCAATGTGAATGTTATTTCATTTGCATGCTTTGTAAGCAACGCGGTGCAGTTTTTAATCTGCACCTTAGTATATTTCAAGAGAAATGTGTTTTCTCTTTTATTAATTATAAGTAATGTTGGGTGTAACTAACATTTGTATGTGTGATTTTGTTTGTATTATACGTTTTGTGTTTATGTTAATATGTTTGGAAAAGCTATTATAAAAAATGTTAAATAGCAAAATAGCGAGATTATTTACCTAATAAAAAAAAAATCTAAAAAGGAAGCTTTGTTAAGGTGTTCAGTGAACACTCTGAACCATTCGACGCCTCGCCTCTGCTATGCAATATGAAAGACGCTATAAAGGTTTAGTAGTCGACAGAGTAATGATTTAGCGAGTAGCGAGAGGTAATGATCTAATTTCCAGTCGTTTTTATTATGAAAGAACCTTACCTTAGCTCTAGGTTTTGTTTAGTACATATAGAGTCAGAAGAAATAGGAATTGGACTGGTTAAAACGAGATATTGAATCATATATGTTATAAACGATTAATTTATATATAATTAATGATTAATGTATATATAAAGTATAACATTTATATAGGAAAAAAATATATGTATTTTATATGTAAATACATGGAAGAGTTGAGCGTTGAAACTATTTATTACTATGATTCCAAAACAAATTTTTTGGTTATGTGTTCTGACTATAGTTCGCAACAACCTTTTAATGAACTGCTAGAAATCCAGAAGCATATACCAATATGGATATGAAAGTGATATCCTAGTAATCAGTTTTTCTTCATGACGGGGAGTGTGGTATCCAAACACAACCTAGGCCCTATTTAAAAAGTACAGGATCACCTAAGCTATTATTGACACGTGTGTTTAAGTAGGGTGTTTTTACTCCATATCGTGATTATCCCAATTGTTTTAGTTAAGTTTTATGTGCCTTCTTATTTCAATTCATTAAATATTATATTATATTTTGTATGCATTTAAATTAATTTAAATTTTATAGTACGGACGAAGTTTTAAAGAAAAAATTTTTGTATTTAACTAAAAACCATTTTATTTATAATTATATAAAAATATTTCTAAAGTATCTTACCCTGATTTATTTCACAAGAGCTTGCATGTTTTGTAATTATATAATGCAAGTCCAATTAGTGTAACAATTTCTTGAAGTGTCAAACTTCTTATCGGTAACCCCATAAACAGGTCCAAGATTAAAATTCCGTGCAAGTCGAATTCAAGATTAAATCATTTTCCTTTACGATTTTTATTAGAATCGCAATTATAACGGCGATTTTAACACGCATAGCGGTACTCGACACCCATCACAATTTAAATAATTATTATTATTATTAATATCCGGAATGGATCCCCATTGTCCCCTAACGCAATACGGGTAACAACTCACATGTGGAGCACGCAACCTGCAGGCAACGCTTGGATTGCATATTGAAATGCAATAAAAATAAAGTGCAACTGTCCAGTGCAGTTGGAGCCCACAATTTTATTTAAAAATACAAAAAAAAATATATATTAAAATTTATTATTTTTCGTATTTTTCACATTTATTTTTCTTTAATACCGCAAAAGCTCTTAACATATGAATTGCGAGGAATTGTGTGTATTCGAGACCCTTGTGAAGTTGCCAGCTCCTTGCCCTGGGTCGATTGCTTGGCTCGACTTACCTTGGCTTGCTTTACCGCACAACTTGACTGACCCAATAGGCGTACTGAAGGACTCACTGAAAATCATTAAAAGAAAATGCGTAAATGCGTGCGGAATAATATGAAATCATATGGTATATACCCGTAAAATGCGTATCTGCGTGAAAGCGTAAATTTATGGGATTTCTTTGTGTCGCGGCCGTTTCGGTTGCGATGTTGCGATGCGGCGATGCTGCGATGCTGTGTTGCTGCGCCTGTTGCCGCTACTGTAATTAATTGTTACAA